GCCACAAAGTGCGGCTGCCTAGTGAGCAGCAAACTCGTTGTTGCCTCAGCTGCAGCCCTGCCGCATGCCCCAGACCAAGTGTTAACTCATTTGCGTGGCTGTTAAGTGACTCAATAAACGACATCTCAAATTGAGGACTCCACGCTGTGACTGCTGCATCTGCCACTGCTCTCCACAGAGTGTTGCCACATGCAGCACTAGCTCAAGCTTATATAATGCCCCTCTCCCTCTAGCGACACCTCTCTGGCATACCTGAAGCCAGATCTGCAGATTTGCTTGGTTCTCCCCGATTTGCAATGACAAATTTTTAATGGAAACTGGTTTTCGCTTATTAAGATAGTTAGATACAAAGATACTTGTCTACGAGTAGTCTTGGGCAAACATATTTCTATACAAAGATTCGATTTCCAGCCAATGCTCTTAGATCCCTCATATCTTTCATTTCTGTTCCCATTTCCTGTAGATAAATGTGGGAAAAGTATCTTTTTTCCCCCTCGCTGCTCAACTAGTTATTTTCCAAAGTTTTCCTCAGACTCATTTCCTCCGTTTGAAGTTTGTTTCAATGGCTCCAAGGCGCCCTCCCAGGAGTTGCCCCAACATCCCCTCCCCGTCATTCGATTAGGTTTGTTTTTGTTCCATTTTCTTCGCTCCGTTTCAGTCCAATCAAGTCCATCCATCGCGCAAAAACTTCAATCCGAATTAGCCTCAATGCTGCTGGAGGTCCCTTTTCGTCCCCCTCTGTTGCCCCCCCCCTGCTGCCCCCCCTGCTGCCCCCCCTGCCGCTGCTGCTGCTGCTGACGTTCAATCAATACCTTTCGAGTATGTTCAATATTTGGCAATGGCTTTTGCTACTTTCTTGCTCTGGCCAGAATCCATTGTTAACAGCTTCATTAAATCCATGGCGTCGTAAAAAAATGGAGCTCAAGGAGGGCTCCCGCATAAGGAAAAATATAACACCAGCCATAAAAATATTTCGAAGGGGGAAAAGTTCCTCTTCAACATTGTACTCGTATTTCTTGCACGTATTTATCCAAGGCATAACCCGCCCCCCCTAGTACACTGCCACCCCCCCGGGTTGTAACCGCAGAGGAAAATGAAGAAATTCATTTGGAGCGAACGCGTACCTGGATGCCAAGAATAAAGTTTCGACTTGACTGCATTTTAATCAAGCCAAGAGCCAAACCGAAGAGAATCGCATTTTGACCCTCTCGAGTTTGCAGAACACCCAAGGGGCACCCGGCACCACCCCAAGCCGGGTCCCGGGTGGCGTCAATTGTTCCGGTTGTGCAACACAAAGGTTAAGTTGCCGTCAAACTGTGGCGAGAGGAGGGCAAACATTTAGCCAAAATATGCAGCTATTGTCGGATGTTCTCTCATAATTTGTGGCGGAAACAAAAGCATATTTTCTTGAGTGGTTGATTAGGGATAGATTCCAAGGGGAAGCCTGGCTGCTACGCTTTCTGGCACTTTTTGATGGGATGTGTTCCTTCAGACTTCTCACAGCACAACATGGATTATTCTTTGGATTATCGTTAGGGAAAGTTTATCTAAAGATTCCCGGAAATCCTGGCTCTGCCTCTGTTTAAGTGGCACTCAAACGGCACTCCCTGCCTGGCACTACTGTGGAATACATGGAGAATCCACCAACAAACGACTTTCATATGACAAAAGGTCGTTTCAAAGTAAATTTTTGTCAAACGTAAAACAAATTGTGTATGCAGCAGGGAAATGACATTAATGTTGCACGTAGCACAAGTTTCAGTTGTCAATTTTCTTAACAAATTCAATTTTTATGCGCGCATCAGCTTTCCACCGAGATTCGTTTGCTTCCGTCCAAGACGAAGGGAGTGTGGGCGGGGCGGGGGGAAGAACTTGAGAAAAAACTTCAAGCTGGCACCCACTTGAAGATGGCACCACAGACGATTGCCTGGAATGGAGATGGAGGCCGTCCCCCCCTGCGTCCACAATATGCCATCCCTTAAAACGTCTGAGCTGTGATGAGCCCTGCCTTCTCTCGTTTTTCTTCGTATCCGACTCGTGCTTTTGCTCACTGCAGCATCTCTCGTTTTGACTGCTGGCTGGCTGCCTTCTAGTTAATCCATTGAAACAATAAGCTGCTTTGTTTGTTCTACCCACGACGACAGTCGACAGTCTCGCACTTTTGCTTTGGGCTTTTGTTGAAAGCGACGAAAGAGACGGCTATAGGTGCAGCGGCAGCGGTTTTGTGCAACTTTAACCTCGTGTTACTCTTACTCTCTCTCTCCGTTTTTTTCTCCACTTTTCCTACAGTTCCCATTGTTGTCGCAGCGCAGCTGAAGTGCAATGCAAAGCCAGGACAAAGCGCCGTTTCCCGGGCTCCTTTTGGGTGTTGCATTTAGTGCTAACCTCTGGGTGGATCCAGCCTCCAGCCGGGCATCCCCTTGTCTGGCTTATGATGAGAATGGCCTGGGTCTCTGGGGGTTTGGCACAGGCAACGGCATCCCTTGGCAGTGATTACGAGTATTATAGTAGCTGCATGGTTTTGACTCCTTAAGGGTCTCCCTCCGTCGCCTCCGTCGCCTGCGTCGCCTCTGTCGCGTGTGACAGTCACTTAATGTGCACATGTACACGTATATGGCGATTCTGATAAGAAATAGGCAGCTCAAATACACCCACACGCGTATATAGCGGAAGAGATCTACAGAGGAAGTGCTAGAAGAACTCTTAGGGGTTGACGGAACACACAGAAAGGGTCGTCGTCTAATGCGGGGGCGAAATCGTGCCATGAAGTTTCATTAAATTGAAATGAATGCGAGGAGAAGTCACGGGGGAAGAGGGCTGGGATAGTTCCTTATTGAAACAAAAGCGAGGAATTAGTGGCACTTCCTTTGAGGAATGCAATCTCTAATGAGCATCTGATTACACTGACACTTTCGACAGTCTTTGGTGGGAGTTTTGTGGTTGGATCTTCATAGAAGCCGATAAACCTTGAAGGCAGCTTCCTTTGTGATTGTGTATTGGGGCAAATGGGCGCCAATCGACTTTATAATTGGTTTGGGAACTCTACAAGGACCCGTTTGAATGGAATAGGTTTCAATCTGAGTCCCTACCGACGAGCCACGCGATGAGCACCTGATAATGGGGACATTCCTTGTCCGTAGCACCAGTCAGCACTGTCGGATGAGCGGAATATTCAATATTTGGCTCGAATTCGAACACGAGACGAAAAAACGAAGCGGATATAAATGCTATGTGGCGTTGTCTGCAAATTTCTCCTTGCGACATGCTCACACGCACATCTTCGTTATCTTCTTGACTTTGTTCTCATAAAATCATGAAAACTCTTTCAACTCCAGTTGAAAATTTCTCGTTTAAATCTCTCTAGCTTCGTCTGAGGAAACTTAATCACAAATCACAGATTTATTCATGCTTGTTGTAGAACACCACATAATGAAAATCGTTGGCATCGCTCTGTGCCTTTTATTCTCTCCACACATGCATTTATTTCTCTGGCTCTGACTACAAAAGCCATTTCCAGCCATATTCCAGGACCACATTCTCATTACCACCCCTCCCCCTCCCCCTATTCCCAGAGGCTTCTCGTGTGCATTGTCGCCACGGATATCCGCCATGTTGGCTGCTCCAGCTCCAGCTCCTCCTTCTGCTTTTCTCTCTATGCACATTAGTACCCCTCACACTCACACACACACCACACACCCATAACAATAAAACTCTTTTCATATTATTTAAATTTCAAGTTATATATATTTTCTCTTTATTTTTTTTGCGATTTTTTACCTGCTTTGGCACTGGCGCACAATAAGCCATAGAAAAGCGCTACAATGCCAAGCTGCTGGCAGCAACAAAGTTGGCAAGAATCAGCATATAGCTGTGCCAAGTTATGGCCCAGCAGGACTATGGATACCCTGCCATCTCCTGCCATCCAGTGCACCCCTATATCAGGGCCTGTGCAATCTGTTGAGCAAAATGTTTGTGGATTTCTGTGCAAAGGTCCTTTCTTTGTCGGGGGTTTGTTGTTTCTTTAGCCATATTTGCTTACCCATTGGTGGCGGGGCCGGGGGCGGGGGGGGTTGGGGTGCCCTGTTTACAATTCACTTTGGCTGCACTTGAGAAATTACACATGCAGCAGCTCCCCCATTTCTGCTCTCTCTTTCTCCCTCTCTCTACTCTCTGGCCCTTTTTTTTTATATCGCGCTCGAATTTCTTTGTGTTTGTCGTCTGTTAAGGGCGGAAAGGTGGGCAAGTAAATCGTCTGTCTTATTTGCCTGCTACTTCAGTTTTAGCCGCTCATTCAACTCCCGCCCCAGCCCCCACACACGTACCACCCCCACTCTCCTCTGTGTCCGTGTCTGTGCTGGGGATAGCTCCCCTTCTAACCAGTGGGACTACAACATGATTGGAATTTTCCGGTGCAGACATTTTTTGCAAAGGTAGCACAAAAAAAACGAAAAAAGGGCGAAAAAAGACCGAGACCCGACCCTTGCCTTTCTCCTGCTTTCACCCAAACAGCCGGTGGTTGTGTTATTGATTTTTTCAAGTTTAAGCGCTCTTTTTTTTGTTGGTGTGCATGTTTAGTGGAAATTATAAGTTGGCATTCGTTGGAGCTCTTAAAAATGTTAAATAATTGCGGCGGCAGCGGCAGGGAAAGTTAAACAAAGGCTAAAAACATTGGAAATTATTTGAGATACTTCTTCCATTAGATTTCAAATCCAAATTCCCAAATTTTGCCTTTCATTTGCCTTGAAACTGCTTTTCCAGCTGATTGCATTCGAATGGCTCGAGTGAAATCCGAGAGACTTAAATTACAAAGGGGAGATGGATGTGGTAGCCACCCCCATCAGCCCCCCACCCCCTCCTGCCACCATCCATTAGTTGTAATAACAAAGGGCAACCGAACCGAAAAAGCTTGCAACCAAAAAAACACAAACAAAAACCGAAAACCCGAAAACAGTGAAGGGAAAACACATTTCTTATATGGCTTTCCATCTCGTTTCTTGCAGCGGGCATCAAGTATACGGACAACCAGCGTGTGATAATCCTGGTGAAGGATGTGAACGACGAGCCGCCGTACTTCATCAACCGTCCCCTGCCCATGCAGGCGGTGGTGCAGCTGAACGCCCCGCCCAACACGCCGGTCTTCACGCTGCAGGCCCGCGATCCGGACACGGACCACAACATCCACTACTTCATAGTGCGCGATCGCACGGGCGGACGCTTCGAGGTGGACGAGCGTTCGGGCGTGGTGCGGACCCGAGGCACCGATCTCTTCCAGCTGGACATGGAGTATGTGCTGTACGTGAAGGCGGAGGACCAGAACGGCAAGGTGGACGATCGCCGGTTCCAGAGCACGCCCGAGGAGCGGCTGTCGATTGTCGGCGGCAAGCGGGCGCCACAGTTCTACATGCCCAGCTACGAGGCCGAGATTCCAGAGAACCAGAAAAAGGACTCCGAGTAAGTTGTTCACAAAAAAAAAAAGAAGGGAAAAACCAAACACAGAGAGCACAGAATGTATGCAAATTCCGTTGGCTGCCAATAAAAGTTATGCATAGCAAACTAGTCTCTGAGCCCTGGACATGTGTGCCACAGTGTGTCTGTGTGTTTGTTTATCCTTCGCTCTCATTGGAATTCCACTGGGGAAAACAACTGTCAAAAGGCAGTCGAGCATCAGAGAGGCGACCCTTAAAATATGCAAGAAAATTTTACATTTCCCTCAGCTCCCCCAACTGCCAGCTAACCATCTTTCCGTTTCCATTTCCATTTCCACTTCCATTTCTTTCATCTTTCCCTTTTTTTTTCAGCATCATTTCGATTAAAGCCAAGTCCTTTGCCGACCGCGAGATACGGTACACATTGAAGGCGCAGGGTCAGGGCGCCGGCACCTTCAACATTGGACCCACATCGGGAATCGTCAAGCTGGCCAAGGAGCTGGACTTTGAGGATCTCCGACAGCCGCACGTGTACTCGCTGATTGTGACAGCCACCGAGGACTCGGGCGGGTTCTCCACCTCAGTCGATGTGAGTCTTTAAAGGTCACTTTAAGAGCAAATATCTTATCGAAAATCTCTCCTGCAGCTCACCATCCGCGTCACCGATGTCAACGACAATGCACCCAAGTTCGAGCTGCCCGACTACCAGGCCCACAATGTGGACGAGGACATACCGCTGGGCACCAGCATACTCCGCGTCAAGGCCATGGACTCGGACTCCGGATCGAATGCCGAAATCGAATACCTCGTCTCCGATGACCACTTCGCCGTCGACTCTAATGGCATCATCGTGAACAACAAGCAGCTGGATGCGGACAACAACAACGCCTACTACGAGTTCATCGTGACGGCCAAGGACAAGGGCGAGCCGCCGAAGAGCGGCGTAGCCACCGTGCGCGTCTACACCAAGAACAAGAACGACGAGGAGCCCAAGTTCTCGCAGCAGGTGTACACCCCCAATGTGGACGAGAATGCCGGCCCCAACACCCTGGTCACCACCGTGGTGGCCTCCGACAAGGACGGCGACAATGTGCGCTTCGGTTTCGTCGGCGGCGGCACCTCGTCGGGCCAGTTCGTCATCGAGGACATCACGGGTGTCATCCGGCTGCACAGCAAGGCCATCACCCTCGATCGGGACAAGTACGAGCTGAACGTCACCGCCATGGACGATGGCTCCTGCTGCGTGAACGGCGATCAGACGATACACACCTCCACGGCCGTGGTCGTGGTCTTCATCACGGACGTCAACGACAACAAGCCCGTGTTCAAGGACTGCAGCACATACTATCCCAAAGTGGAGGAGGGTGCTCCGAATGGCAGTCCTGTGATCAAAGTGGTGGCCACCGACGAGGACAAGGGCGTGAATGGACAGGTAAGAGATATATTCATGGAAAATACCAATCAAAGAACTCGTAAATATCATTCTAAGAGTATCTATCAATCGTAAAAGCTTTGTTACCTCAAATCTCGTGTCAATCAAGGCCTCCCCTTGATTACTTTCCTCCCCTTTGAGCACTTTCATCGACACCCATTTTAATTATGGGTTATTTGTGTTTTGAGGCCAGCCAGCCCTAAACGAATTATCCCCACGTGTTGGGAGAGATTTCATGACGAGATTTTAGCCATAATTTTCTTGTCGTGTTTTGGCCAAGTTCAATGCACTCGAGAGTGCACTGTGGCATGTCGTGTCTCGAGGTCAAACGCCTCTCTATCGCTATCGCTATCGTCAATCGTTAAGCAATTTTGCATGTTCCTTCCGTCTGCAGGTGAAATACTCGATAGTCCAGCAACCGAACCAGAAGGGAACCAAGTTTACGGTGGACGAGGAGACCGGCGAGGTCTCCACCAACAAGGTGTTCGATCGAGAGGGCGACGATGGAAAGTTCGTTTCGGTTACGGTGAAGGCCACGGATCAGGGAGATCCGAGCTTGGAGGGTGTCTGCTCCTTCACGGTGGAAATCACGGATGTGAACGATAATCCCCCGCTATTCGATCGTCAGGTAAGGAAAACTCTTGGCAGCAATGGGAGTCCACAGCAGAGTCTAATGAATATTTGGCCTTTAGAAATATGTGGAGAACGTCAAGCAGGATGCCAGCATTGGGACAAATATACTGCGTGTCTCGGCCTCCGACGAGGATGCCGACAACAATGGGGCCATTGTCTATAGCCTGAGTGCGCCCTTCAACCCGAATGATTTGGAATACTTTGACATCCAGGCCGAGTCCGGTTGGATTGTGCTCAAGAAGCCACTTGACGTAAGTGTTTGCTTTTCGATTCAGAGACTCACTGAGACTTTGGTTCATGTACCCCTCTTTATGATTTTACCAAACCCCCCACCCCCAAAAAAAAAAGAAAGAAGAAACTAACCAAGTTCTGTATGATTTCCGTTCTAAATTTTGAATCGTTCTTCTGTTTCTTACTAACCATTCAATGACGGATGCTTAGCATCTAACCAAAGATCTAGAGAGTCTGAGCGGCTTGTAATCTAATCTTGTCTATCTATCTGTATAACTATCTTATGATTGAGTTCTTCGGTTTTCAAACTGCACCTTTCTTCAGTTCTGTTTTTCCTTCAATTTCGACGACGCCGCCGCCGCCGCCAGAAGTACATATTCGATGTGCAAGCAGTGCAAGTTTTTTTTGCCACATCGATAGCTACGTTTAGAGCTATCTCGTATATCGTATAACGTATATCGTATGTCGTATATTTTTAGTTTTGATTCCAAACAATTGTTTTGTTTAGTTTATAGTTTATAGTGCGTAAAATTGGCCCAAACAAAAGCAATCTAAACCCGAAAGCAGAATGCCAAGAAAGCGAATTGATTTTTAACATTTTTTGAAACAAATCAAACTAACACACAGATCAGAGGTTGGGTTGGGAATGAAACTAAACGAAACGAAAACGCTTATAATGGACCGTACAGCCGCTTGAATACCTATTTTTTGTGGTGCTAGGTTTCTAGGATTAAGAAATGATGTAAATAATGGAAGCATTTCCGCCCCGATACGATCACGAATATTTTTGAGCATCGTTGTAACCATTTTTTGATGGCTCTCAAAAAGAGAAAACTTTCAAAACAAAAATATATCAATTTTCATTTTTCCAAGTAGCTTTATTTTGTATTGCCACTTTTTGATTTTTACCCAAAAGAAATTTACAAAAAAAAAAAAAAAACTCCCCACAAAACCCCCGAAGAACCCGAAAATCCAAAACGAAAACTTTTTGTCGAGACTATGAATTTTTTTGAACGTCTCCTGCTGCCAGCCCAAGTGTTTTTCATACATTTTTCTTTAGAGTTATTCGTATTTTTTGATCAAACAAATGTTTTGTATTTTTGAAGAACATTTCTGTTTGCATGCCCATGGAAAATGTGGCCATAATCGTGTTTTTTTTTTGTTTTCATGGAAAGCTACGCGGAGAACCTAGAATATGGTTTTGAAATGTGTAATTTATGTTTTAACTGCACCTTTTACGTTATGATTTGATTTGTGTTTTTCCGAGAGGATGATAGATGACGATCGAGAGGCATTTTAATATTTTCGCTTTTAATTTCCCATTTTATATATTTACATATTCAAAAATTATGGTGTTCTATCGAAATGTCTAATCAACGATTTAGGGTTGTTATCCAGTAAGTAAATGCGAATATTTACTGCTTTACTGTGCTAACCCCCCAACAAAAATCACACAGAAATCTGTAAGCTAACCTCAACAAAAAAAAAAAAGAAAAACGAAACTAACTCCAGAAACAGGAACAGACTGTACTTCATAATACTTCATAAATAGTTGTGGAACAAATAAAAAAAACATCACTTCATTGTAGGGCACCTCCGAAAAATAGACCAAAAAATAGTCTCGTCAAAAAAAGCAAGCAAATTATGTGAAAGGAACCCCATCCCAGAATCCTTATAACATTGCTATTCCCCTACTAAAACCACTCCTAACCTCACAAATTTTGACTATATTTATACCCCTCTCCTGAGAAATATTATTTTTATGAATATTTGATCTTATTTGATTTGGTTTGTGTTTCATATATTATTAAAATACATTTGAAATAAACATTTAACGACAACAACGATGCCATCAAATACGTAATCGTCACGTAACCAAACGTAAACCCAAGACACAAACCAAACCTAACAACATTTTGCTAACACTTTGGTTCTGGTTCGGGCATTGACTATCCATTGCATTAACATGGCAATGTCCCGTTCTGCTGTTAACGCTAACATTTCCGGCTAACACTACGCTTCAATCAAAACTCACACTCAATCGATCAATCAACAGCGCGATCGCTATCGCTTGCGCGTCCGCGCCCAAGACAAGGGCCAACCGCCCTCCTATGCCGATGTTGATGTTGAGTTAGATGTCGTCGATCGCAATAATAAGCCCCCCATTTGGGATAAGAGCGTTTATGGGCCGATTCACATACGCGAGAATGTCACTGTGGGTACGGTTGTAACATCGGTTAAGGCAAGGTTTGTATAGCCAACACACACACATACATACTCGTACTCGTACTCTCTTTCTCCTCCCTCCATCGCAAAATCTACACACACTTAACACTAACCTGAGAGTCTAACAGCTGTCTGTAACAGTCTCCTAACATAGTCTAGTTAACAGCATTTAAACATTTGGCTAACATAGCATTTAAGCTTTCCCTACGGTGCATTTTTAACATCCGGTCTGCCGGTCGATGCTGCTGTTATCCTTCTGCAGAGCGAAAGCTTTACGATGTACAAAGTACTTTTTGGTGGTCGTAAAAGCTCTCCCAAGTTTCACACCCGTTTTTTTTGTGGGTCCATCAACAAAGTTCGAAACCAAATGCAAATTCGATATGGAAACAAAATTCAAAATCTGGAAATCTTTTGTTGCTGGATTTTGTAACGATTTTGAAACGAGCAATCCTTTTTGCATTTTGATGCGGTTCCCCATGGAACTCCCCACACACTTACCCCCGCCCCTTGGATCTGCTCCTGCTTCTCTGTCTCTGATTTATCCCCCATTCTGTGACTCAAATTCCCCCCACGACACGCCCGGAATGCTGTGAGGATCGTAATGAAATTTTGGTGTTGGTTTTCATTGGATTAACAAAATATAGGTATCAAATATTGTATGTACTCCAAACAAGGTTGCAGTTTAGTTTTAAGGCTCTAGGAATCACAAGGTAAATACTGGTACACTCGTACACAATGTGTTCAAAAATGTTAAAAAGCAATAGTCGAAAACGAAAACGAAAAGAATTACAACCAAAGCAAACTGTATGAAAAGTATGCTATTGAAAATTCTACCTATAAAATGCACAAAAACCCGATATTCTTTTTTTTTTTTTAATTTAAAACCATTTAGTTGAGACTATATTTCCTATATTTATTTTAAAGCCACACAAAACTGAGGCGAGGGTCGAGACAATATAAAATAATTTGCACTGCATTCAAAAGAAACCAATTTATAGAAAAATTGTGCAAAAAGGCCTAAAAAACTGTTTAAAATATTCGTTATTTTTTTTTAATAAGTTTTTACTTCTTTTTAAAGAGGTGTTGGTTTACGAATTTAATTTTTTGTTTTTTTAACCATGAAAATACAATCTACAATATTTAATTCCATTTTTTTACAACTTCTTTGAAGAAATGTTCCAACTATATTATGTACTTTTGTTTTTTGCCTTTTTCCTAAACAAACCTGAAACGCAAAAAAAATACCGTGTACCGACGTGTCGCGTCATGTTTTTGCAACGCCTTGCTTGATTTTGAAATACAAACGATTTTTGAAATGTATATAAAATACAGCGCGAGACATACAAGTTAGAGGCCATGGCCCAAGACAAGGGCTATCCGCCACTATCGCGTACTGTCGAAGTACAGATCGATGTGGTCGATCGGGCCAACAATCCGCCCGTCTGGGATCATACTGTCTATGGGCCCATATATGTCAAGGAAAATATGCCCGTTGGCGGCAAAGTCGTCTCGATCAAAGCCAGGTCTGTTCATTTTTCGTGCAAAAAGTTTACCACATTTCTCAAAAATCAAAATCAAAAAACAAAGAAAAAAAAACAAATCAATCAAACATTTTGCTTAGTTATTTTATAAGAAATATGTATCATTTTTTTAGGTGTCTTTTTTGTTTCGTGTTCATACTTTATCGGTTATTGGTGTCATATATGTCTTGCCATTGAGTTACTTTGTGTGTTCTGAATGTTTGTTCCTAGCTGCTCCTTAGAGATTGATTCCCGTTAGAAGAGGGGTCCCTGGCCCCCTCTTCGAACCCCCCTTTATTTACATCCTTTAGTGCTCCCCGTTCCCATATCATCATCTCTCCCCTAGTATCCCTCCATCATTTATGAAAGCACTCCACAAATGCACCTGTGATATAAACACAACTATAAGCTGAAAATGCACAAGCCACACGTTTATAAGAAATGCACAACATTTTTTTTTGGTTTAGTATTTTGTTTAGTATATAATATAGATTCTACGCAGACGCAGATACTGAATCGTGCGATATTCCGCATCGTATCGAACTCCTGTCTTAGGAAAAATCAATCAATAAATGGGATTACTTAGAGGCATAAAGATAGAGAAGTTTCTATACTAATATACTCCATGGGGAGCGCCTTGGGCGCCTATCCTGGGATCCTTCGTACCGATATGAGTAAAATATAGAATATATTACATAAAAGATATATAATACATGATACAGTACAGGTATACCATTATAGAGTCATCGAAACTCTTTGTCAGAATGGTACAAAAGTCGACTTCAGCTACTTTCAAGTCTTCAAAGCGTCACGCGTCATGCGGCAGCGCCTCTCGGTCGATTAGGCGGGAGGGCTACTGGGTTATGGTCTGGAATCCGCATGGTAGAGCCCACTGCTAGCGTCGCATGGGTCGCCTGATGCAAAATATTACAAAAAAATAAAATATATTTATCATCAATGATTTTAAAAGAAAACTTCCATATTTTCTTTTATCCAAGTTGCATTTTTATAAAGCAATAAATTATGGCCTTTGCGAAAACTTTCGCTTTTCTGGTGATATTGAAAGAAAGTTTGTTAAATCTTTGGACGTTAAAACCCCATTAGAAGTGATTGATAGACAAGAAAGCTATTTCGATGAAATAACTCGTATTCCAGTTCCGATATTGGGGAGTAATTTGGTATGTCTGGAGCTTTGTTACTCCTCCTTTAGCTGAAGAAATGATAGATATAGTATTTCTTTCCACATTAAGGCCTTCAAATAGTAGACTCTACCCTCCGAATTTTTGAAATTTTTTAATGAAAATCAGAGTCAAAAATCTCACTTGATTCTCATTACTCCTCAAGGGTATTTCACGCTTCGCTGAGCCTCCGAAAAGTTTCCTTCTTCTCCTTTGGACGCACATGTCCATAAGCTGCTGCTCAAACTTGAAACTGTATAGAAGTTGGGGGGGGGGGGGGCCCGACCTTTGCCGCATGATGAGGTGGGTCAGTTTCAATTACCTGCCACTTAGTGTCAGCCAGTGGCTAAAATATGAAAAAAGTATAAATCCCGCGCCCCACAACTATTCCAAAGGGGAGGAATGGGCGGGGAAGTGGGTGGAAAGTTTATTTTAAACAAAGTTTTGTTTTTTATAATTGCAATTAAAAAAGAAAAGAAAAAAAACCAACCTGAAGAAGAGCACTTAAATGACTTCTGGGTCGCAACTGGGGGGGATCTCTGGGATGCGGTCAGGTCAGCCCCCCCACCTCACCCCCTCTCCCGCTCTCTCTGTGGGGAGCGTTTTATCTTCGTGGCAAGCCATCCACATGGCACTGGCATTTTAATTATGCGTCAGTCCAAGTCAGTTTTTATATTATCCTCCTCCTCTGTGTAGTTTTTTTTTTGTTGCGCCACCATGCACTTTCCCTTCTGCCGCACTAAAAGCAAATGCACTTAGAACCAAAGGATATAAACACACAAAAAAAAATACAAAAAATAACTAGAAACGATGCACATACGCACCTGCACAGAGCCTTAGACTTGGCTCGAACCCGAATCTATCTAGAGTTTGGTTTAGTTCCGTGCCCTTAAGTATACTTCCTTTCTGTTCCCCAGCGCGGTATTAAGGAAATTACAATCTATTAAACGTGCCTGGGTTTCTGCCTCTTGTGTTTTACTCAGTTTCTGGCCTTAAGTATTCTCTTGGTTTTATTATAATTTTTAAAAACATCTTTCGTTCACCTTTCCCTTCAGTTAACGTTTCTCTCTCTCTGACTCTCTCTCTTTGCAATTATCTGGTCATGTCCCAGCACAAAAAACAACAAGAAATTTGTCAACATATATATATATACATTAGAGGGCGGGGGGCCAAGATGCCATTAGGAGAGGGTTTAAGTGTTGGGAGGCGCATATCATAGTAATTGGGGCGCCTCGAGTTCCCCCATTGTGTGTGCTGTGCGGCACGTGGCAAGGTCGTGGGCACAAATACTCGTACATACGTTTATCTATACAGCCTAGAGCAGCTTAATCTTTTGTTTGTGTTTTTTTGTCCTATTTTAAATTATAGAAAATAGTTGAAACTGCAACAAAAGAAGCCACAATTGTGCTCAGTGTACAGAAATAAGTATAAACAACAAAATATATATATTTTTCCAACACTTTCTTTTGGTTTTACCAACACTCACACACATAGACACACACCATCAACGGAAATTTAATGAAATCTACTCACACCTTACATCCAAATCACAGAACAACAACAACAGAAAAAACAGAAAAGAAACCTCCAAGAAAATTTCATGCAATCCACAAAAAATTTCCCACCCCCCACCACCACCCGCTACTCCACCCACTCCACTCCACCCCGCCATGAGTTTTTCTTCTCATTTTTTGTGCCATTTTTTGTCCTTGGCAACATTTTTGCGCAGTCTGACAGTTTTCATTTATTTCTTAAGACCCGGCTCTTAAGGCTCTTTTTTTTTTGTGTACCGCCACTCCCGCTGCTGCTGCCATTTTTCTGTCAGCTGCAAGTGTTGTCCAAGCGCAAATAATATATATATATATATATTTCGTATATATATATATTGTTCCCCCCTGATTTTTGCCTAATTTGTTTTTCATTATCATATGCCGAAACCGAATCCAAACCCAAACCCAAACCCGAACCCCAAATGGCAATTACATTTTTTGAAGCCATTTTTATGTTGTTTTTCCCCAAACCGTTTTTCCTTTTCGGTTTCCCTCTGCTTTGCGGAAAATTATATGTACTTTTCTTTTGCACAAAAGACGCTTTAAGGAATTTTTTCGTGCAGCAGCAAAGAATCTTTTTGAATGCACATTGTTTTTAGAGCAAGAATTCTTTTTATGCGTCGTTGTGTTTGAATTTTGTTATGTTGCATGTCGTATTCTTAAAGAGAGAGTGTGTGAATGTCTTTGAAAACGAAAGAGAAAGTCCCTGGAACTTTCTCTTCATTGATTTTTGATAAATGAAATAAAACATTTAACCATTTCATTTCGTAGCCTAACCATTATTTCATGTAGAAACGTAATATTTTTCCCCACAAAACCCCATTACCGAAAATTTACTAATATCCGAATCTTGCCTTCTTTGGCTGGGCCCTTTGGCCGGGACGCGTCTGCAGTTCGGGCATTGAAGGCAATCCGACAGTTTTCTATCGACTGATGCCAGGGTCGACGGCTCAAACGAACAAGTTTCATACATTCTACCTGCAACAAAGACCGGACAACGGCGACACTTGGGCGGACATAAAGGTGAACCATCCGCTGGACTACGAGAGCATCAAGGAGTACAATCTAACCATACGTGTCGAGGTAAGAACTCAATTTAAAGTTGTCCCAAACAGAGCCCTAAGACGACGTGTATTTGGGGATTGACTGTCTGTAATTATTTGATTTGAAAAGTTTTAATTACTTGCGCGAGTTTCCCATGCAAATGGCAAGTGGCAGAGGGCTGGGTCTCCAGATTCATTAAGAATCTAGCTGATTGACAGACTGACAGAGCAATCAATTGCATTCCCCATCAAAGTCAAGTCTTAGAGGCCTCATTAGTTGTTGCATTCAGCCGGGATGCACAATGCTGAAATATTAATGAGAATTCCGGATAAACCGCACTGCATGGCCTCTAATGAAATGCCATAAAAATTCAATTGCACAAAAAGATATTTCCACCCGTTTTCCTGCAATGTTCAGGTAATTAAATATCACCGGGTTTCACTTTAATTCTGTGCATTCGACTGAATAAAATAAAAGCTAATGGACCCCAGTGGGTCGCCGCTGCTGTAAAGGAAAACAAAATTTCAAAATTATTTGCGGTTTCATCCATGAAATACTTGAATATTTTCGTATTAGTTTGACAACAATTTCGAATTAATTTTTAATGTCCTTTTTTGTTTTTGCTTTTGTTTTTGTTTTTGCTATTTTGTGGTTCAACAAAAATGCCAAATAGATGCAGTGTTTTTTGGCGTCCTTTGCGGTTGCCGTTGAAATGCAGAAGAATAAATAATTTGTTGGAAATGTTTTCAATTTTAAAGTTCCAAAATAAAGCACTCTTTCCCCTGCTTCGTGCCTGCTTCAAGGCTTCTAAAACAGTTTTCCCCACTGATTTTGCCAATTAATCGAATGTTCTGGGGCCCCCACCCCCCGTCGTCCTGGCCAAAAACGAGCCTAATTACGGCCCTGTGTTTGCACAGGAAAATGTGGAATAAACACAAAATAAATAATTCATTTCGGGGCTCGTTCAAGTTGTGGTGTGTAAACATGTGTCTATTTCTATATTGATTCCCATATGCATTGATTAATAACGTAATGCCGGAATATGAATGCCAAATGCTGTGCAAATAGATACAGTAATATTAACAGGACACTCTGCCACAATTCAGAGCCTGCTGCTGGCCAACAAGGCAGCTAATAAACGACAGATGTTGCTCTATTGATTGATGGTGTTTAATCAATCAAATGACAAAGGATTTTCATTAAAATCCCTTACACGGGGTAGTCCCCCTCCCGCCCCCTCAAGCCAAAAAGCCAAAAGTATTTAAAATATTTTTTAATCAAGCTCGTTTAATTTTTATTGCAAATTAATTTACAAATATTTAATCGAGGCGAAAAAAAACGACTCATTAAACACACTTTATTGTTTAATTAAAAAAACAAACGAAAGAAGGACAGAAAAAAAAAGTTATGAAAAATCAAATATCCCCCCTGAAACCCCATGGAACCCCTGAAACCCCTGGAAACCCCTGGGAACCCCTGAAACCCCTGAAACCCCCTGAAACCCCTGAAACGCCCTGAAACCCATTTTTTTAATATTGCTCACATTTTCCTCTTTTTCAGAACAACGGAGCCCAGCAGTTGGCATCGGAAGCGACCGTTTACATAATGCTCGAGGATGTTAATGATGAAATACCGCTGTTCACCGAACGCGAACAGGAAACGGTGCTGGAGGGCGAACCGATTGGCACCAAAGTGACACAAGTGAATGCGATCGACAAGGACGGCACATTCCCCAATAATCAGGTGAGTGCACGGCCATGGGGCCATGGGGTGCGAGTGGGGGGCCTCGAGTGGGGTGCGGAAATGCCAGACGATTGCTGTAGCAAATTAATGGCTGGCGCACGATGAAGTTGGCAAAGAGACACGGCGTAAAGAGCGCGGGGGGGGAAAAGGGCGATTGACAGGTGAGAAGATTGAGAGGTAATAAGAGAATGGTAATGGAGAAAAAGATAGAGGAAAAACCTGCAGATATCTGTATCAAAAGTGAATGACATTGTGGGGCTTACATATTTTTATGGGAGATTTCTGTATAGCCAAGAGATGAATAAAACATGTACTTCCCAGAGATAAAAGAGCAGTAAATTATGGAGATAGATCCCCATTCGAATGGTTAGGATTTCCATTCCATCGTCCAAATATTATCCCTTAATTCCAATAAACTGTAACAACTTTCCATCTCTAGATGGAAACCCCTTAAAACCCTTTTAAATTACTATCATCATCCGTGCTCCGTGTTTCCATGTTTCACGCGGTCCTTGCCCCCAAATGAGGTCTGGCCTGGCCTGGCCGCCCAATTTATTTCCTTCTTCATTTTGTAACCCTTTCACGCCTTTGTAATTGTTTTTTTGTTTTTTTTTGTTTTTATGGCTGTACGCCGTGTCCTTCGTCCTTCCATTGGGCCATCAGCTGGCAGCTGGCTAATAAATGTCAAAGAGTTAGCATTTTTGCACGCCTTCCAAGTGTGTGCTAAGCCCTCGGATGGAAGGGCCAGCCGGCGAGAGGCAAAAAAAAAAAAAAACTAATGCAAAATGCAGAATGAAGCCCTGCGAGGACCCCCAGGGGTTTGTCTTTTGTGCGTCCCACGATGGACACCCCCCTCCGCCCCTCAAGTCGCACTCGCGATTATAATAATATGGCACTTTGGCGACGTTGCTGGCCATTCTTTCAGTCCAGTCCCGAGTCCCGTGTCCCGAGTCCCCCCCCGAGCCAAGTAATTTGCATGTACGCGTGAAATGTCCGCACTAATTAGCGTTTTCATTTATAGTCCTCGGCGACCACAAACGTCAGATTCGCAGTGGCAACGCCTGAATGAACGGCCCTGAACGGGTCGGGCCGGGTCGGTCCTCGTCTCTGGATTTGATTATCATTATCGTTCCGCTTTAATGTCTGCAAGGCGGTAATTAAATTTTCGCCACGTTCTTCTCTCCTCTCGGTCTCGAACTTAATTTTTAATTTGTCTCCTTTTGATGTTGTGTGTGTGTGTGGCCCTGACCCAAGCCCATGCCAAGCCCATGCGGAACCCAAAAATAAACCCAACAAAATTCTACTTCCAGGTCTACTACTACATTGTGGACTCGCCGCGTAACGAGGGCAAGGAGTTCTTCGAAATTAATCTACAGAGCGGCGAGATCTTCACCAAAACGGTGTTCGACAGGGAGAAGAAGGGCGCCTATGCCCTGGAGGTGGAGGCCCGCGACGGTGCCCCCTCGGCACGACCCAATAGCAATGGACCCAATTCAGGTGAGTGGAGGAATTTAGATATATTATAGATGGGAGTCAGTAGAATGATGGTATAACTGTGGGAGCAGTGGGTACGCTTAGATTTTTAGATGAAAAAAAGAGACAAAATTAGGGATATATTGCCACAGAGCAGCATTATTCAAATATTTGTTCGAATAACATGATTTTGGGCATACATATAGACAGACCTCGACTCTGTGAGCAGCAGAGACATATAATTGATTCCTTTTACTCCAAAGAAAGTATTGATACCTATCTTCTTTGTGTTCTACGAATTCCTTCCATATCATCTACAGAAAAAACCCTTCCTTAACTGCAAATAGTATCTTTGGAACTTTTGGTTACAAATGCATAAAATACTTCAGCAGCAACAAATTCGTTAGGGCTTTTCGAGTGCAGCTGAATTTCCCTACAAATGGCAGCAAATAAATTGTACACCGAAATTCCCCAGACCAGACCCCAAAAACGAATTCGTTCTCCAAATATTGACCAGGCCAACAGCGAATGCGTGTGTGTGTGTGTGTGTGTGTGTGTGTGCGGTTGTATATCCCCTGTGTATCTGTGGGTGAGTGTGTTTAGTCAAGTGCATTTGGGCTATTTTATTTATGCGGCATGTTGGCCAGGCATTTGCCACATTCGGCGTGTGTGAGGACATCAAAAACATTTCGCATAGGTTTCCGACTGCCTCTGAATGGTTAAGCTGGTTGGAAAAATATTTGACATAGGTGCGGATTGTTGGGCGAATGAGCGCACAGATTGCAAAACTAAAAGCATTTCAACCTAAATGATCCATTTGAAGGCCCCGGAGCTTTAAGGGAATTAATCTCCCGCTTGTTCACACAAAAAAAAAAAATAAATAAAAAGAAAAAACAATTAAAAGAAATGTCAGGGCACAAATTTTGATTGTTAGTTGCTCCATATATATACGATCTAATGCCTGTTCTTTCAAGGCCTTGGCATCGTTCTGTTCTGTTTGCTGTTCATTAAAAATTGCCCCTGAAATGGCAATCAATTTTTCGGTTCGGGCCACTTCTCATTCCATTTTGATTTCATTTTTTGTGTGGATTTTTCCCCGCTTTTTCACTTTTTCTGGGGGCTGTTAAAATGCTTTTCAATTGTTTAATACATCGCTAAGCCGTACGTAAGCTCGTGGTAAATGGAAACAGTGGCAAACAGATATATATTCTGTGCAGTGGCATGCCACAATTGGCAATGATGTGATGCAAGGGCTGAGGCTGAGGCTTTTGGCCATGAAAAACGAAAATTAAAAAGTTTTCCCTCTGTTTGTGTTTTCGGTGGGGGAAAATGGGACGGAAAACAGAGGCATAGATACGAGTAGATGTAAATTACAAACAGTTGCTTACAAATATTGATATTCAAGCGGAGGAAAGGCACGGGGGCGGCAAGGGCTTATGGGGTCTGGGCCTCGGCAACAGCTTGCGGTTTGGCAATTTTTGGCAATTTTGGCCAACACCAAACAGAGTGGGAGCTTGTTTAGAGAGCAGGCAATAAACTATTGTTAAATGTATCCCAGGCTCAGCCCCGGTCCAGGCCAGGCCCTGGCTATGCGATGATTTGTTTTCGGTTCTGCTCCATTTTGTTTCTGTTTCTGTTTCCGTTTCTGTTTTGGGCTTTCGGTTTCGTTTCCGGTTTTTGCTGATGCAATGCCAAAACTTTTTCCGGTTTTCATTTATTGTTTTTAATTGATGTTTCCCTATTTGTTTTTGCACGGCAAACGGGACCCAACATTTTGTATATTTTGCGGGTGGAATGAAACATTTGTCTGGCAACCAAAAAATGCTGCAAATTTACATTTTAAACCCAGCCTGGTTTCGGTTTTTCGACGGTGTATTTACATATGAAATTCAGTGCATTTTAGTGGCCACTTGATGGGGACTTAAAGGGGGGACTTACAGGACTTCAATTAGAGTTAATTTAATTGAAAAAGGGAGTATTTTGAGGTCTCGACTGCCCCTTCTGTTACCTTCAGTTATTCTTTAAGATATCACATTTTCTCTGCCAATCAGAGCTAATAAATTGTCTGTTTTTCATGCACTTCCCTTTGGAATAATGCTTTCTTTTGTCGCTGTTCTTGAACCCATAAATATGTATACTGGAAAACCTTCAAACCATCATTTTCGAGTCAAATAACAGAGAAACGCAATTTACCGGAGATTTCCGCGAGTATACGTAGTATTTCTCCTTTGGCAGACTTTCATTTAATTTATTTGTATCTGTGCGGCGCTTTCGACCCGCTCCCAGGACTCGGCTGGGACTGGGACTGGGACTGGGCTTTGTTCCGTTTCACTTCAATATTTGTCCTGTCACTTTTAGCGCTTCGCATTGGCATTTTGTTGCTGGATTTTTCCCCGAGCAGCACGAATGCTTGTTTGTTCAGTTTTTGCATAGTTTTACCCTCCCCCCCATCCCTTGGGTTTTCTTATTTTTTTTTACCTGAATGTTTTCGCAGCGCTTTGACTGCATTTGTAAGCAATTTCCCTCCCCACGCCCCACGCCCGCCCCCATTGTGTCGTTTCCCTGGATTCCGCTTTGCATTAGGAGCCAACTCATTTTATTTTGGATCTTTGAGCGACCTTGTGACCTCTTTAAATGTTGGTTCGGTTGGCTGTGGCCACAGCTGCTGCGTTTTGCTTGCATTTTCCGCATCATTTGGCAGCCAGACCCCAAAGGGGAATCATTTGTTGCCTAAACAACAAACATATCTGTTTTGTTATCCCAGGACCCTCCCCCCCCCCCACCCCACACACACGCACACAGATACACAGATACACGGATACCCAGATACAGTTATCAATGGCTTGTTTTTCTTTCTCAGTTGTTTCTTTCTCGGTTGTTTTTGCCCGTATCTGCGGAACGTGCTCTTTTTAGTTATGCATACTTTTAGGCTTAGGAGCCACAGCCACAGCCACAGCGACAGCGACAGGACCTGCACGTACCGCAGCCTTTTGGCTCCTTCATGCATAAATTGCGCCGGAAACAGCAGCCAATGAATTGAAGGGCAGCCCAGGGAGCCGAACGCCGGCATACCCTGGCCGTTCGAGGGGCTTCGAAGGTAGCAAAAGTCATGGGATTTCTGTTCCACCTCTTGGCGAGTACAGCCAACAAAAAACAACAATCTGCTAGACAAACAAAACATGACAAATGTCGGAAAGTTACATTTTAAGCATCAGTAAATCGCCCCCCGAAAGAAGAAAGCAAAAGAGTTATCCCGCAGGGGGAAAAACTCTCTCAAAAATTATTATTTATTCGTGGGATCCTCCTAGAAAATTGAGCCACTGCCAGGGGCAAATTAATCCCTTCCTTGACACTCGTAAAAATCGCATTAAATGAAATAAGCAGAATTTGCATGACAAGCGCCCGAGTGGACGGCCAGGGCAGAGGACCCCAACAATGGCCCCAATTGTTACACACATCATAAATTCACAGGGAAAATCGGGCTCTCGTACACCCTTCAGGGCATAAATGCTCTCCAGCAGTTGTCTAATTTCTGGGGCGGAAATAAGTGCTCGTAAAAAATGTTCGGGCACATAAAAATCCACTTCCAATACCATTGGGGAAGGTTGGGGCCGAAAGTGGGGACAAACTATGGGATCTAAACGCTCTCATATCATATTCGATAATGTCCTGGCAGCCATTCAATTTATGGCCTTCTTGCCTTTTGGACCATCAAAAATTGTGCTCGACTCTTGACTATTTGTAAATAGTTTGTTGGATTCTTCAACTTTAAACCGCTTTGGCGCACATTGCGCATACGCAGTGATGTCATCGAAGCCATCGAACAATAAATGGTCGCCAAGTCGGGAATTTCCTTTACAGCCAGAGACCATTAATCTTGATTGCAGCACTCCATCATTTATGATCGATGTTTGAGCGTTGTTCTGTCCGGTATAAATTGATTTCTGCCTTCGAGGAAACCCCAAAGAAAAGCCCTGCCTAACTAGGAGTACATTTTCGATGTAAATTTAATGCCTTTTTGATTTTTATCTAAATTTAACAATGCTTTTCCGTGTTTCCAATTGGGAAATCTATTTAGATAAAGTATCTGGTATGTTGAATCTTTGTATTAGGGAAAAGGAATGGTACTTACACTGGGGGCTGTGGCAAAAACTGGAAAAAAGACGGGAAATGTGCATTAGTTACTAGAATTTTTTAAAAGAAATATTTTTTAAAAATATAAAAAGGTTTGAAAATGCATTAAAACTTTGGTCAGACTTCCTTCTATGCAATTTTATTCGCATTAAATTATATCTTCTATTGGTTACTTTTATCAGAGCTTTGCTTCGATATTCTGTACTTATTATATACCAAAAAATATATATAAATATATATTATATATTTTATATTAAAAACTGAAATATTAATCGTAGATTTTTCCATATAATTTTTGGCATTTATATCTCCTGTAGTACCGATTTATTCCATTAATTAGATACAAGACAAATAACCATAGACGAAATCCCACTCTATTTTGGAACACAACTACAAGAACCCTTTTCTATAAATCTACATTAAAAAACCCTTCCTTTTCTGCTCCAAACTGCTTTAAACTCTTGCAAAACTCTTTCTCAACCCCTTCGCAATCGATTCCCTCAGACAATTAGGTAATAGCCCTGACAATTCCCAGACTGTTGCACCACCAGTCAGTCGCTGGCGGAGAACAAAGCCAGATAGATATGCACTGTTAATATTGGTCCAGGGCAACGCCAAACAATTTGTCAAAAGCAAACCCCGGGCACTCCTCAGATGAGGAAAAAAAAGAGGAAAAACATTTCTCCACCACTCACACGCTTGTCTGTCTGTCTGTGTATGTCTCTCTGTGTGTGTGGAAGAAATCATGAAAAATGGCATTTCCGCATTGCCAACTTCATTTCCGTTTTTCCATCCGTCCGAATGGTCAGAGAGTGGCAACAAGTCAACAAGTTGGCCAAGTGGCAGCTGCATTTACCAAACGCTGAAGAGGGCCCCGACAGCGTCTCGAG